TCAGTCGTTTGGGAAACCCCTCCAATCGACTCCCGACACACCTGTCCAGAAAATACTAGTCTCCAACAACGTTGAGAAATTCGATTTGAAAAAGAGAAAAAATGAACGGTGGTGAATGAAACCAGCGCGCGGCGTCCAATCTCGTGACGTCACGCAGTAGATGAAGCCACGCCCACGAAGGCGAAGGTCACTTTGCAGATTTCCCCCGCAAATCAAAACTCGTCAAATTCGTTGCTATTCCAACATCTTCTGATATGGTTCCAATGACAATTATTGTTCATTACTATACTATTAGCATTAACAGATCATGCACCAGTGCACACTTCCACAGGGTCTTTAAGGGTCATACGGTCGAAACGCGTCATATTACATCATATCTCACACAGGGATACGTTCCGCTCTCCTGACCGCGGGTATAGTGGAGTTGCGTTGAGTAGAGCGGTTGTGTTTAAGGAGCTGGTTTTTTATGTAGTTTTACATTGTATTTCACCATATTGTAATCAGCTGGCCAGTATTGTGTTTGTGCAGGTTGCACAATACCACACTGTCAGGACATCCGAGTCCAGAGTAAAAGGACCGGAAGGCTAGCGTTTCGTCCTCGGGTGCGCTTGTGCATCCACCTCCCTTAGCACATACCTCTCCACAGCTTTTATCAGGGAAACCGTATTACTTCTGTCTCCCCCCCCCCTCCCTTACGCTGCTCTCTCTCTCTCCCCTCTCGTCACGCCAGCGTAAGACATAGTGTGGAGTTGCATTAGGTAACGCTGTGGTGGCTGTACTGCTCCAGCCGTCTCCTTTGTGTTTGTTTGTTTCCCCCTGTCTGTGTTGTTTGTGTGTGCGTGGTGGCTGTCACTCCTGGCTCCGGGCTCAACCTCCACTCACCTGCTGCAATCAGCTGTGCACCCTCCCCACTACACTCCTGCTTTCCATCAAGCCATTTACAACGACATATCAACGGAGGCTCCACAACCTTTCTCCGCCAGATCGTCAAGTATCAGCCGTATCTCGCGTCTCTCCTCCGGTACACAGCACCCTAGTGTGGAGTTGCATTAGGTAACGCGAGATACGGCTGATACTTGCGCATTAGTTTCTGTTATGGATCAGTATCAACGGTCCTGCCAGTAACCTTACTATATTATCAATGCTACTTTAGTTATAGCCTGATATATGATAGCTAACTTTACAATGTTGTGATGTGACGTTAGCTAACATTCTGTAGCTAACGCCGGTCACTCACCAAGATAGCTGCCCAGTTCTCCACTGGTTCTCCTCACACCACAGCTCAATTTCTCTCCGATGGCCGTTATTTCTTCTAATCCTTGGTCTTATTTCTTCTAATCCTGGTCTCTTGGACGCCTAGCAGGCTCATAATTATAAGGTTGTGGTCCGTCATATGCATTCGAATATTCGAATATTCATGTTCAACTTCTTCTGTGTCTTCTGTGTCGAAATTAGCATTGGGATCCATGTTTATTAATACGTTACACCGGCCGCTGTCCCCCTTGTGTCCCCCGTGTACGTCACACGCGGGAGGTCACGTGCCGAGGCTTTTTTATGCGGAAGTGAACATTTCTTACAAAAACGACGCCAGATGTCACTGTAGTGTATATTTCTGTATATTTTTTAGAAAATCTAGTGTATTCATCATTTTCCTACACATTTATTCACAGGTTTCTTTAACCTGGAAGCTGCTCTTTAACATCCCGATAGCAATGAATATCTTTAAGTGCTTTGACAAAAAATCCATACAAAAATGTCATCTGTGGAAGCCGTAATACTGTAAAAAGCACGATCAATCATTTTAGCTGCCCCGGCTAAAATAACTGGATGGCATACCTGCCTGTCAGCAAAGTTTCTATCCGTGCACAAATTATCTCGTGCCCTCATTGGTCATGTGCAGTGTTGGGCAAGTTACTTTAAAAAAGTAACTAGTAATAGTTATAGTTACTGCTCTCAAAAAAGTAACTAGTTACTTTATGAGTATAAGTTCAACGGCACGATGAGCGACGAGGATAAGTACTACGGCACGATGAGCGACAAGGATAAGTTCAACGGCACGATGAGCGACGACAAGGATAAGTACTACGGCACGATGAGCGACGAGTATAAGTTCAACGGCACGATGAGCGACGAGGAAAAGTTCAACGTGACGATGAGTGAGGAGACATTCAATACTGCATATAATAGATTGCTCTTGTCTATTTTGAGTGCCTTGGAGAGCTTGATATCTGAGGTGTTATCTTGGTAGCAATATAATAAAACGTGTATACATTTCTTAAATAACAGCGTGTCAATCCAATGTTTGTATTGCAATGCTTGGCTCTTATCATGCATAAATCTTCCCTTAACAGTCCAATAAAAGCTCATCTGGTATGGTGGACTTCCTTCTTTGTTCTCCTGCAGTCAATCGTCAACTCCTTGGTTTTAGAGGTGTTAAGGAGCAGGTTGTTGTCCTAACGCCACTCAGATTATTCCCTTGACTTGATAGACTTATTCTCAAGTCAGTCTTCATCTTCCATATTGCAACCACTATCCTGCTACAAGATCCTCCTGAGATGTAGAAGCTGGCTTTTTTCAACATTTATAGGTTGTTATAGACTTGAGAGTTCATTATTCATAATAGCTGGATTGAGCCAACCTCACAGCCTGAATGCAAACGATGCAGCAATGTGAAAATACCTTTACTGAATCATATCAAAGTCCTGAGTGGTTGAAAAAGGAGAGCGTGAAGTTGGGCTCTGTAGTGCACACTCATCAAGTGTACGAGCTAATCATGATTTGATTCATCATGTGCTCGATCAGCACCTGTTTTGCTTGAAGTGTATATATTGCGAGGTTGCCGAGAGCCTGTGATGGGATTGTTATATTTCTGCCACACAGGGAATGCACCAAAGGATGTGTATCTATCTCAACAGGATTTAAGTCGTATCTGGTATAAGAGATTACAGTGCCAACAATCGCTATCTCCCATTGTTTCATCGTGTCATTGCTGCTATAGCCGCTTTGGAACCATAAAGTAAAAATCCCCCCATTAAACAAACAAATCTAAACAGTGGTGCAGATTAAAAGGAAACAAAAGGCAGGGATACTTTGCTGCAACACGGCTTGGCCTTGCATACTGTAGCTGAAAGACTGGGGATGGAGACAAAAGAGGATGTAATCAATTAGAGAGAAACGTGTCTGGCAGGGTCCTGCAGTTTCAGTCTCCCTGCGTCTCTTCCCTCCATATTTGCTTGCTTTTTAAATGTTAAAAAGCACTGACCACTTTAATAAATCAAACCTTTTCCTTGCTCCCTGGGTGAGTGAGGCGGGTTATTCAAATGCAAAGGTTGATTACAGAAGGTAAGGTCAGATGTTTGTTGCATATATTAACTGAACTCATGTCATTATTTGGGTATCCACACGTTATCTTACTCCTGTTGTTTCTGTCTACTTTACATATGACATCCACTGCATTGGTATTCCTCCAATGTTTGTCTTTCAGTTTTGTTTTCACTTCCTAAAGCTATACAGATTTGATGTCCCTCTTTGGCAAATTAGTGATTTGTGACCTTGGGCTATCCAAATTAATTTGACAAGAACATTGGCATCATGGACACAAATAATCACCGAAGGCAATTTGTGAGCGTGAACAGGTGTGCTTTTCAACTTGGTTCATTGGGATTTCTGATGGTGACAGCAACCAGTGCCAGTGTTCATAACACAAAGGATAAATTGGCTCATGAATCAGCCAAACCCAATTATTGGCAAGTCAGCAACTAGTCCCTACCATCAAAATCCCTACGCCTCTCATTCCTTCTTCCCCACAGCCCCATTCGCTCTTGCGGTCTATATCATCAGAGGGAAGCTAATGGTGATAGACAGACCCTGACTGGTTTATCTGAATGGCCATCACGGTGAAGGAAGGAACACCATGGCTCAACATTTCTTTTTTACTGTGTGTCCATATACTGTATGTCCTTTGGACTTGAAAAACAACATTAAGAAAACATCTAAAAATCGAGAAAATACCCTTAGACTCCAGAGGGTTAAACACAAATGCTTATCGAAGACTTTAATAGTAGAGTTGTCCTTGTCCATGTGTCCATGCGATAAAACAGCCGGTGTACACAAAGGAGTTGCCTTGTTGCTAAATAAATAAAATATTGATAGACTTTCAAGTTGATGTCACAGTTGAATAGTGCCCTTGCAGAACTATAGCACAATAATGACATGCCAACCTAGCACAGTATTTCACATTCGTTTTCGATACAACACTTGTGTTCAACTTGCATTAAGAAATAGATGAGGCAAAACATGTATAGACAAATATATTCACACCAACAAACTAATTACAGGTTAATGAAGTAACCTAACTGTTGTTTAACTCTGAGAGGAAACAAGAGACCTTGGATGAAACCCATGCAGACCCAAAAAGGACATGCTTTTCCCTTTTCCCATTTTATAACCCTTTTAGGAGCTTATGAGAAAAATGCAATTCATTCATAATTGACTAGCCTTTCCATCCATCCATACAACCCTTCTCAAGTTGGCCTTGGCTAATACACCTTATGAGGCTCCATCTACTAAAGAAATATCTAGACTTACGTTTCAGAGAGGTTGAAGACCTTCTGGGAATCCCCACTCACAATGCGGTATGTGATCGGGTCATTTTCTCTGTCTGTGGCCTAGGGGAAGGAAAAGAGGAGCAGGATCTTGAAGTTCAAATAGTGCCATTATAGTTTAAGACTATGAGATATGACTCCTGGGCAGCTAGGAAGCTGCAGTGGAGCGCACTCGAGAGCACAGCATAGTGAAATATGAAAAAAGGGAGAAAAGGTGTGGTTGCTGAAACTACAATATGCCTTATTGACAATTCAATCAGACAACAGCATGATACTGATTGCCTCATTACATTTAAAATATCCTTATTTGCATGTGCAGATTTGTGGGTTAGAGGCTCACCTGTAGATTAAGCAGAATGGCTCCGATCCTCATAGCCTCGCTGATTTCCAGGTTGTATGTGAGGAGAGGGAAGCGCGGAGGGCTCTGGTTGTTGGGAGGCAGAACCTCAATGTAAACTGTAGTGATTGAGCTCCTGGCAGAAAGAAAAGCACACATCAGCCCAATGACAGAACTAGTTTCTCCTTGAAACCTATTGAGCCGTACTGAAGTGCCGTGCCCAGAGCAAAGTGAAAAAAGTGTTATGATTTATAACGTTGATCCTAGAAAAAAGTCAAAAGGTTTTGATCGCATTTATTTCAAGTGGGATAGTTATCTGGGGCTGCAGTCAAATAGTCCATTTAGCTTAGGAACCTTCCTAACCGAGTGAAATTACCCGGAAGTCCCTCAGTGGCAGCCATGATAAGTGCCGTTCGAATTCTCTAGAATGAAAGGAAAGGAGGTTTCAAACTTCCTTTATAACCTCCTTTAGCTTAGGAACCACTGGACCTCCCTAACCGAAAGGAGAGGAGAAAATGCTGCCCCACAATGTCTTGCAGCCGCAGCATTTGACGTCACACAACAGTCGGCCGTTCACGGACACAAACGATTATGACGGAGAAATTATATCATGAATGTTACGGTGCTTATTAAGCATTTTAAAACGTATGTGGTAAGTTGCCAAAGTGCTTTGTTTTGAACGTTCATCAGTATTATAATCAAAAAGAGAAATATGAACGTTAGTTTTTACTGAAATCATCAAATAAAGTCAACATTTCACTGAGCTGTGTGGGGTTTGTTCAACTTTTAAAAGATGTTTGAATGGTGATATAGGTATTAAAGACTAACGTTTATAATAAATACATTTGTATTGATTTTAAGATCTTTTCATAGTTCATACAATCATACGTATTGGGATCATTTGTATTAATGTGGACCGGAGGGAGAGGGTGACGAGCATAAGTTTCACTTTTTTATTATGTGTTTCTCTGTTGTTCATAAAGCATAAAGCAACAGCATCAGAGCACGGTGCAGTCTCTAGATGAGTCCGTCGTTCTTATTATACATCCATGTTGTAGTCCGCTGTATAGAAAACTATAGTTTCCATAGTTTCCCCACAGCAGCAGACGCACACAATGACGTCCGCTGGCGCATCATAAACACATCGGATAGTGAAAGTGCCTTTCTCCGCCAGATCGTCAAGTATCAGCCGTATCTCTCTCTCCCCTCCGGTCAGCACCGTACTGTGGAGTTGCATTAGGTAACGCGAGATACGGCTGATACTTGCGCATTAGTTTCTGTTATGGACTCCAGTATCAACAGGTCCTGCCAGCCCTAACGTTTACTATATATTCATGCTACTTTTAGTTACCTAGCCTGATACTATGAATAGCTACCCATCACAATGTGTTGAGTGACGTTACGCCTACATAAGCTTAACGCCCGGTCACTCACCAACGATGTCGCCCAGCTCTCCCCTGGTTCTCCTACCCACAGCTCCAGACTCTCGCATGGCCGTAAATATTCTTCTATCCTGGGCTGCTCGCTTACCGAAACTGGTCTCCTTCATGGAACCGCCTAGCCCCACGCTCTTTATTATGTTAATCATGGCATTTGAATATAGATTTTCAACGGTCTTCTGTGTCAAAACTGGATTGTGATCCATTGTTATTCATAGTTAGACCGTTACGTTAGTTTATATATACTGTCCATCTGAAGATTAATGTCATAGAGGGTGAAATTCGCAATGGCCCAATTGACCCCGCTCTACCCCCATGTTAGCTGTTCTACTACCTTAGCAGGGATGTTTCACCCGCTCGGTAGCCTTCTTTTATGGCGGATAGTCAGAAATGGACTGGTCCACCAACCGAAAACAGACCAGATGATCACTTTCGTCCTTGATCCCCCGCGGCGGATCTAGACTAAATCTCCAATATTCACTATAGGAGCAACAATGATGGCACACATGTTGCAGGAGTGCAAGTGGAATCGAGATTTAATTAACCCAAAAAAGGCGGTGGCTTTCCTGCCTGATGCAGACCTCTCATTCCTGCTTATATGACTGATTTACCTCGCTCAAAAAAGTTTTTGGGTAGATCTATCTTATCAAATAGTATAACTTGGAAGACCACAATATATATATAATACTATAAGTAAACTCGAGGAAAAGTCTACATTAGGTTGAGAAGATTATTTGGCATCCATCCCCGTAAGTAAAGACTGCTACAAATATCTTAAATTAATCAAAATTTCTGAAAGTATAGTACTAATAAGGTTTTCTTCCTGCCGTGGGTGGCAGGCTACGTTAATTAATCGCAATTGTATATATCCTCTGAACGAGTTGGTTCATTTAATCCTCTAACCATGAGCTGCAGGTACCAAAATATGCCAGGCTCTCTGCTAGCAATAGCCCTACATTTAAATGACTTGTCTAATCATCGATGTGCGCTCTATTATGAATTAATTGAGTCAAAACTGTATCCTT